CGCCTGGCCCTGATGCCTGGTCTGCCTCCATGTTCGCCCTGCCCTGGGAGCACCGCCCCCCTCTGCGTCCTGGATGGCCCAGCACACGTGAGTGTCCGAAACAGGCGGCAGTGCTATTGACGCGGCATCGGAGGCACCCTCGCCACGGCTTGCCAGGAGTAATGCATCACAAGCGTGGATCCACGCGCTTCACAAGGGCCGGCAGCGTCGAAAGCCGCGTGCAAGAGTCCCCAGCCCCTTTGACTGCTGCCGAAGGCTTTGCAACCGTTCTAACGAGTGCTGATGATGCATATAGAGGTATTTGAGTTTGTTGATGGAGGGTTGCAGCGATCGGATGTGCCTCGACGCTTATCAAGGATCTGCGCTAAGCGCGACGAGTGCAATTTGGTGAACGAGATGGCGCGATGGTGTTATCAAACAATGCGTACAATAATTGTGTGGTCCCATCGATCGGCTGCTGCGGTGACCAATCGCGAACCGATCAACCGAGCCACCCGAGCCACCATGCCCAGTCAAGCCGGGGCTGATCCTGAGAAAGAATTGTATCAGAACCTCTAGAGTATATTATAGCGCTGATGATATGTTTCACATGAGTTGAGCACCCCGAAACGTCAGCAGCAGTGATACCGTACCCTCCGCTTCAGCTTGATGCAATGTTGAATGATATCAAGAAGCCCAAGACTAGGTGCGGATTATTATAATGGTCGGCTGGTGTCACGTCAAGCAGGTGCAGCGGCATCGAGTCCCCTTGCGCCGCTGCACCGCTTTGGCGCACTCGACTGCATGTCCTGGTCAGCTGCCACACCCTTGTGCCCGTTTGCAGCGCTGGTGCGCCATGAGTGCTGACGTGCAGCTTGCTCTTTGCCAAAACTGAGTGAGCATCCATAGCGCAGCCGCACAGACATCACGTACACATCCACCCCAGCGTTCAACCACTATCGCCATGGCCCCCCCCCTTGCCCTTCCCCATCATGCGGCGCGCACCCGCAGAACCCTGTCCTTCGCAGCCGGCCTCGCGCCGCTGCTGGTGGAGAGCGAGGAACCCGCCTGCGCAAAAGGCGTGTTCAGGACCAGCGCGCTCATCGCCGCGACGCCTCACAGCCCCACTGACCAGAAGCGCAACACTGACTGCTCCGCAGGCAGGAGGTGCGCGGGCGTCGTGGCTGGCCCTGTGCTCGCTGCTGCATGGCTGGGCCGCGAGCAGGCAGGAGGGCAGTGCACATGCGCGGCAATGCGGGCTGCTTTCAAGAGCGCCACTGCAGGGGGGCCGACTGGTGTTCGTGGTGGACCCCACCCTGCAGGGCTCACTGCCGGTGGCAGCATCCCATCACGTGCGTTTGCGAAATCCGGCATGGGTTCACCCCCTCAATCTTGAACGCAGCATCCTGGTACTGAAGCCCAAATGGCGGCTCAGCAGACAAGATGTGGCCGCCGCGAGCGCGGGCCATGCAGCAGGCGCGCTGCTTCCCCCTCTCACGCAGACCGTCCGCGCACCCCACAGCGCCGTGCGTCACCCAACCGCGCTACCGAACGCGCCGCTGCACCCGCCACGCCGGCGCTGCGGCAGCGGCGG